TGTGCGCTTCCGCTTCAGCTGGATCTCGGCGGGGGCCTGCGCCTTCCTCGCCGCAGATGACTCGGCGGCAGCGTGCCGCCTTCTGGCGAGCGCCCACGCCGCGGGGCGGTACTCCGACCGCGCGCTCCACATCAGTTTGTGAAAAAAGCAAGGAGCTCGTTCAGTTGCTCGCTAGACCGGTCTTGCTTTACGTAAATTCTGCGCCGCAGCAATTCGCTGAAGTCGAGCCGTAGCCTTCCGCCTGCAGCGACGATGCCCGGCCGAGAGGGGTCGGATCCAGGCGCTGAGGAAGAAGATCTCCACGGGCCGGATGCCCGCCGCACCCGGCCGCGTGGGTAGAGAGCTTAGCGAGGAGGAGCTGCAGGATTGCTGCGAGAGGCTGGCCGTTTTGGAGGAGGAGCGCGAGCAGGGCATCGAGCAGCGCCGCCACGCCACGGCGGAAGCCGACCGCGTGATCCAATCCGTGGAGGCGGTGGCCACAACGAACGCGGATGAGGCCGCCGCAGCACCGCCGCCCGCAGTGGTGCAGCACGTGGACGGCCGCTTTGACGGCCTGGAGGCCGGCTGGATCAATTCCTCGGCAGCCCGGCAGCTCCCAGGATGGGGAACAGCGGGAGCTCCACGCCCACAACCAAAAGAAGCGCGCGGCCAAGGCGCCAGGCTGCCCGGGCGGCCGAGAAGAAGCGCAAGCTCGAGGAGCCCTACCGCGTGGACCGCCAGGAGGGTGACCGGGCGTTGTGCTCTGTGGCGAGGGCGTGGCCTGGGGCGAGAACCGCAGGGCCGATGCCGAGCTGGACATCAGCTGCCTGCGCTGCCGCGTGGTGATCTTGGGCAACCCGACCACGCTGCAGCTCGTGAGCGTTGTCCAGCAGCAGCTGGAGGTGCTCGCCCAGACGCAGACCGACAGGGTCTTCGCGCTGCAACGCGGCGCCACCGCGTTCGTGCCGGTCCGCCTCTACAATGACGGCAAGCGCCCCGCCAAGGTGTTGAACGAGGACGGCGACACGCTGAGCCGCATCGTCGCCATCCGCGTGCAGACCCCCGCGGCCCGACGTGCCCTGTTTTATGCGCTCCGCGCAGCCGCCTTGGCCCCCTCCCGACGGCACCCCGCCTTGTCGTGGCGGGAGGGCTCAGTACGCTCCTTGTGAGGGGAAGCCAAGAGGGTGCCACGACGATGACGCGACGACGAGACGACCAGGTGCATCTAAGGTGCATCTAAGGTGGGGGGTGCATCTAAGGTGCATCTAAGGTGGGGGGTGCATCTAAGGTGCATCTAAGGTGGGGGGGGGTGCATCTAAGGTGCATCTAAGGTGGGGGTGCATCTAAGGTGCATCTAAGGTGCATCTAAGGTGGGGGGTGCATCTGAGGTGCATCTAAGGTGCATCTAA